CATGATTATTGTAATATGCTACCTAATGTTTAAGTCTACAAGCTTTCGTTTGTTTGATGTTTAACGCCACACTCAGAAATATTCCAGCCATATGATGGCGGTCTGTAAATAATCCAGTGATTGATACGAGCATCGATCCACGCAAAATGGGATACGATGACATGCATCAACCATGTCAGCGAGCATGACCACCTGATCCCATTAGTTGCTTCTTATGTCAAGCATGGGTTGCTGCAGACCAATTTTAAACCCAGTCTTCACTGGTGTTATGTCAACGTGCACCGAGTGCATCATGTAAAAAGCTACAATTTTAGTCTCACTCACCATTCCCCAAACAATAATGATCTTTGAGCACACTCACTACCCCTCAGCTTTATGTACCATACAACAACACAACTCAAGCCAATCCCTGCGTTATGTGAAATTTATATGCTTTCTTGGGCTCGACGTCATCAAAAATTATGTTAACATGTCCCTTTTTTGTTGTACAGCAATACGCCAATATGTAAAATCATGACGGACAGAGATCTGAGATCATATTTATTTAGACTAGTTTATGCATCAGTGTTACCATGGTTACAACTCTTCTAAATTTATTGGACCTGATTTTGTTTGGCGCAACTCAGTTTTCACGTCAAAAGCACCTGGTGCAAGTTAAATCAAGTTCCGTAACTCTAGCACTGTATGGATACCCAATTTTCAAAGCAAAATTCCTTGCTATCACCCTATCAATAATATTAGACAACTTTGGATGACTAGCCCAAGGCCCCCACACGTTGAAATGCCTCACAACACGACCTGTGAAGATCCGGGTTAGAATAGGTTATCAGCAACCCATGCTTGCAGTAAAAGGTGACTTATTGTAGTTAGATGCATGTCATCATATCCCAATTTACTGGATCGATGCTCATGATATCAATCACTGGATTGTATGATTATTTACAGGCTTGATTATTTACAGACCACCGTCATATCGCTGAGTGAAGCGTTAAACAACAAACAAACAAACTCACCATACATCATGCATATCACACTAATACTGAAATGCTGGGATGCAACAGGGCTCAAAAAGATCTTTTTAGCCATTGGGTATTTCTATTTTCTCACGTTATGAACTCATAATGGATACTGATACTTTCTTTGCATATTCAATATATAAATAATCTCTTGGGTATTTTCAAACCAATGAGCAGACATTTTTTTTAAACCAATCTCCTTAAAATGGTGACTTCAACTGCATCTCTTTGTGTGCTGCCCCAATTGTCACATGTGCCTAGCTCACAACAACGACATACCTGTAAGTTGCCATGTTTACAATTAGAGAGAAGTTGCATTTTTCTTCCTTGTTCACTGTGTAGTATGTGCATGTGTAAGTAGTGTCTGCAAATGGCCATTAGTTATGTAATAGCTAAGTAATTATGTTCTGCATTATTGTTCTGCTACTGTATTTATTCAAGTCAAAATTCATTGATTATGTTGACTCACTTTGCATATTTCACACAAATACACAGCTTATCCGAAGTGAAGGGGCAGTAGGGAATATCAGCATATGACTGAATGGTTTGGGGGAAAATATATCTGCATTGCATTTTACCATCCACCTCAAACAAGTGATTTCTAATGGATGGTAATCTCTAGAGTGTGCCAATGACTAACATATTTATGACTATAGACGATTAACCATTGCCATCGCAACAGCTACAGCCTCTCTCACAGTCCCTTAACCATATTAGTTTTTCATTCTGCAAGCTTACAAATAATAACTGAGAACATAAAACCTTAACTTAAAAGGGCACGTGAAAATATTACATCACATGCACAAAATGATATCTACTTGCCATGTTAGACAAGTTGGGATAAAGGAAATGTTTGAGCCTTGTACTGTAATGCTATCATGGCTATGGCTCTAAATGAAGCAAGTCTAGATTTTCAATAGGTTTTGAATCTCATCTCATTGCGTCTCCTTTTCAATTTAAATGCAGTTACTCGTTTCTATCAAAATTACATATTATAACATCACAGTAGAGGACACCAAAAATGGGCTTTACACATAGTACCCACATGGGGAATCGAACCCAGTTCTTCGGTGTGACAAGTGAATGCTTCAACCACTGGCTACCTTTTGCCTATCATTTATTTTGTAGGGAGCAAAGAGGAGGAGCCAAGAGATATTGTTGCCAGCTATATTTACTTATAGGTAGCCAAGTGATGAGCAGTAGATGAATTTAGGTTGCCAATCGTTGTGGAATGATTATTAGATGTTACTATGATATTTAGAGGATTGGATATGACAAGAATTAACATGGGAATGACTATTGCTTGATGAATCACCCCCATGTCATCAGATCTTCCCAACCCAGATGTATTAATAAACATGATAAAGACTTTACAAGTACACTGATCACAACACCCACTGCAAGAACAAAAGAGGGTAGCATGTACATAAAAAACGAGAGGGAGGGGGGGGGGGGGGGGGGCTTGTTATGTCATATTGGTATGTTATGACACAAACAAAATTGTTTGTTATGTAACGCTGCTCTTAGCAATATTCCAGCTATATGGAAATAATCAACATGATCAAGTCTGGACCAGACAATCCAGTGATTCACATAATGAGTATTGATCCACGCAATTGGGATACAGTAACATGCATCAACCAAGTCAGTGAGTCTGACCACCCGATCCCGTTTGTCGCCTTTTACGACAAGCATAGTCACTTTTACAGCAAGTATGGGTTGCTGAAGATTCTACCCTGGATCTTCATGGGTCAACAAGAACAAAAAAGACTAGAGTAGTTGACATGGTGTTCAAAAGGAAATGGGGATACACACCTACTGCATCCCTCCTCTGCATCTACCAGTGCAACAGTATGCTGTTAGGGACATTATTTTCTCATTCGTACATTATACTCCTTTTCCAGATACCCATTAGTAAAAGTGAAGACTATTCAGTCATATCATTAAGTTAATATGATCCTGGATTATGTACCACTACAAAGTTGTTCTTGTTTCTACTGAAATATATTAATGACTAGAGACATGGGCAAAATAACTTAGACCTGCATCGATGTATAACACTGTTCCAATGATACGAAATATCAAGGTCATACAAATGTTATTCACCAGCTTTGACATCGATATCGGGAGAAAATATGACGTGGATGTGTACCAATGTATAACACTGTTCAAATGATACTAATATGCAGGTCATAAAAATGTCATACACTGGCTTCGATCGATAAAGGAACACGCATAGGAATATTCATTGTTGCATTCACGCTCAGCATTTGGATAGTGAGATTATCGTGTTACATAAGCGGATATTCTCCATAACCGCCTGAACAGGCCGCCGACCGTTAAATCCACACCGCGGGGTTACGAGACAAGAAAGCAATACAAACGATAGAACAATGTTCTGTCTAATACTAGACAATCAACTGTCATCGGCAACATGTGGCGTTATTGGTTGTGACGATCGATACTCGTTAATTTGTGCTCCTCTGTGTGTTAAGATGTGTTAAACATGAATTGATCCATTTACACAGATCTCGGAACGATACTTTTTAAAACAGATCACGTGTTCAAATGCATCAGACGAAGCCGGTATGTGTCTGTACAGACGCCGGCTTCTGACAAGTACAGATCGCACACAAGCGGAAAGGGGATATTTCCCTTATCAAAGTATTAACCATACTAGTGTGGACTTCCAGTATCAATATTCCGCGAACTGAAAACGACTAGCATGACTAGGCTGCTCCGATACTGTCCCATCAGCTAGACATGGCGCGCGTTTGAAACCGGCAGGTGTAAATCCAGGTGTGTTCAGTAAATGCATGATGATATACACTGCACTGCACATTAAGTCGCCTTACTCGGTACCGTTTAGATATTAAACATTTACTGTTTAATACACATATAAAGCAAATATTAAAAGGAAGCCTTAAAGAACTTTTTTTCAAATTAACAAAGTATTAATAATAGAGGAAATACTATGGATATAGTTGTCGGAAATATAACCTGTTCACTGAATTCTTTACGATTTTACTCTTTCTTGGGTGATTTAAGTAACAGATAGATTCCAGTATCAAAACATACTCTCAGTGACCATACAAATAACCCAACACATATCTAAACATACTGTGGACTTCTACAACTGCATTTTCTATTGTGTAGCTGTTATAAAATTAGTTTGAATTTTTAACGCCACCATTCTAAACGAAGTGTATTTAGTTTGATTAAACATGCATGTTTAGTTTCTAAGTGTCATAGTTTAGTTTCTATATGTATATGAACATAGTGGTTTAGTTTCTAAACACATATCGTTTATATTTACAAAATATTCCAGAAGTTATTATATTAAAGAAACAAGTGGTACTGTCTCTATTTTAACAAAAACTAATGTGAATAAATAGTTTTGGACACATTTGTCATGTATGATTTAAAGGCTAATCACCTGTTTAGTTTCTAAACGACTAATGTGTAGATTAAGAGTTATCCCGCCTGTGACCTTGCCCTTTCGACGCGTCCTTTACCATTGACGGAGACGCCATCTTACACCACAGTGAGGATCTTCCAGGTGATTTTTTCTATTTTCTACTTTGGCAGTTAAAACATATATTTGGTCAACATCTAAGGCAATAAATTGAATCAGTACGATGTAGGGATATGTAGAATGAAGATTTACATACATTTTTATTGTAAATACAATGCATTTGAAGTTGATTAAGAAAGCAGCGGTGTTGCTACTTGTGGATTTTTTTCTTCTCTGGTGGGGTGCATGGTCTTGTAGGTCTATCACAGAAAAACTTGTTTTTGTCTGTCCTAATTCTTATGTTATGGAAAGAATGGATAATTTTACTTGTTCAATGTGTTTCTACGCCACAAGTAATCCTTTAAACTATGAACAACACCTTGTCTGATATCACAAACATGACCGAAACTTTGTTGTGACATGCACTGCAGCAGCTTTCTAGTATTCTACATCTATTATTTCATATATTGCAGATTTTCATGGAGATCAAATTAATGAAAGGTGGGGAAATTTGGAGGTCAGTGGAAAAATCAACAAATGATTTATTCAACGCCGTGTAGGAAATCATGGCCCCCACTGACGAAGCTGATGTAAGACTAAAACACATTATTTCAGATTAGCAAAATTACTAAAACTTTATATTGGAAATGATCACTATTCAATTTAATTATTGAACGTCCATTTAGAAATAAATTCATGCTTTGACTTTTGCAGGAACTAATGGAAGATATTGAAGCTTTTCGCTATATGGTGAGGGAAACAGGATATGACAGGGGCCGAGGAGCGAAAAGCACCTCTATATTGGAAAAAATCAAAGGTGTCTTTTACTCTTTTACCGTCTTTTGTCTATTCTATTTCATTTTACAAAGATTAGACATTTTCGGCATGTAAGGAGTTATTTGTAAGACTTGTTAAAGGGTAATTGCTGGGGGCGGTAGTATTTCTTTTAGATCAGTGCGTGTATTGATTAAGGTTATTCTTTTCTTTATTAGATCAATACTGATGTATAAATGTCACGAAAAAAATAATAGAAATATTTAGTATGATATTATTATTATTATTATTATTATTATTATTATTATTATTATTATTATTATTATCATATTTTATCACGCATATATGTTGGTTACAGGAGTTGTCTCCTAAACAATTTGACGAGGAAGCCGAGAAAACAAAGTTGCCAGTAGGGCCAATGCTTCAGATCTTTGTAAAGGACAACCGAATAACCATGATAACTGAGGCAATCATACACGCCGACGGGGTAAACCTTCCTGTCATAACAAGTAGTGTTCAGAAACAAAACGCTAAACGCGTTTTAAAAGTGGAGACATTTTGCCGTTTAGTTTACCGTTTAATCGCTAAACGATCGTTTTTTCTGTGTGGCAGTTGGGAAACACATATTTATACGTTAGTTTGTGGAACTCACCTGCAAACAAAACACAAACTGCTGCTATTATAATCCTCGACATGTTTCCCGTTCAACTAACACACAACGCACGCTATCTATGTCCCGCTTCTATCTGCTACCCAGTGACGTCACAAAAGAAGTCCCGCACTATTTTCTCTTTAGTGAGCTGTACATAATAATTGATGTCAGGTAGTGTATATAACACACAGTTTTCACACTATAAATAACACATTTATATTACATAGCTTATACTTCTCTATCTATTTCACAATTCGTCAATTGTGCCTATAATGATACAACGTGGTCAGTAAACCACGTGTATAACGGTGTATGTGTTGTGTGCGTCATTGGGACAGACGTTAGTGTGGTTATGTTTCAGGAAATAGATACCGGACAATGATACTCAAACACTGAATCTAGCCTGGTGTATCGCCATCTAAATAAAAACCTTATTACGGACATAGGTGATAATGCATATTTATTTTGCCGGTATTTTGGGATTCATTTTCCGGTTACAAGGGATTATGAATCAGTGACTGGCAGATCTCTTTGTTACTTTGAGGACCTACCTACCTACCTACCTACCTACCTACCTACCTACCTACCTACCTACCTACCTACCTACCTACCTACCTACCTACTGACCCACCCACCAACCCATCTGTCCATCTTGCTCTTGAAAAAGCACGTGCCTTTCTGTGGAATATACGTATCTATTATATTTTGCATAAAAGTAAATTTTGCTCTTGAAATGCAGTTACCTACACGAACAATGTTGTAGATGATAGTCATGTACCTTGCTGTGAACAGAAGACCTTGCTGTTGAGCGTAGCCATGTACCTTGCTTTTCACACAGGACATGTACCTTGCTTTTAACAAAAGACAAGTTCTTTGCTGTGATCAGTGAGTGAGTGAGTGAGTATGGTTTTACGCCGCTTTTAGCAATAATCCAGCAATATCACGGCGGGGGACACCAGAAATCACACATTGTACCAATGTCGGAAATCGAACTCGGGTCTTCTGCTTTACGAGCGAACGCTTTAACCACTAGGCTACCCGACCGCCCCTGCTGTGATCAGAGGACATGTACCTTGGTGTGAACAGAGGAGATGTACCTTGGTGTGAACAGAGGACATTTTCCTTGCAGTGAACAGAGGAGATGTACCTTGTTGTGAACAGAGGACATGTACATTGCTGTGAACAGAGGACAAATACCTTGCAGTGAACTTAGGACATGTACCTTGCTGTGAACAGAGTGCATGCACGTTGCTGTCAACAGAGGACATGTTTCTTGCTGTGAACAGAGGACAAGTACCTTGCTGTGAACAGAGGACAAATACCTTGCTGTGAACAGAGGACAAGTACCATGCTGTGAACAGAGAACATATTCCTTGCTGTGAACAGAGGACATGCACCTTGCTGTGAACAGAGGACAAGTACCATGCTGTGAACAGAGGACATGTTCCTTGCTGAGAACAGAGAACATGTACCTTGCTGTGAACAGAGGGCATGCACTTTGCTGTGAACAGAGGACATGTTTCTTGGTCAGGGTTAACTTTACTGTGTCTTCATCTCCCACATTGGTCAGGGTTAATTTTACTGTGTCTTTATCTCCCACCTTCGTCAGTGTTAACTTTACTGTGTCTTCATCTCCCACATTGGTCAGGGTTAACTTTACTGTGTCTTCATCTCCCACATTGGTCAAGGTTATCTTTACTGTGTCTTCATCTCCCACCTTGGTCAGGGTTAACTTTACTGTGTCTTCATCTCCCACCTTGGTCAGGGTTATCTTTACTGTGTCTTCATGTCCCACCTAGGTCAGTGTTAACTTTACTGTGTCTTCATCTCCCACCTTGGTCAGGGTTATCTTTACTGTGTCTTCATCTCCCACATTGGTCAGGGTTATCATTACTGTGTCTTCATCTCCCACCTTGGTCAGGGTTATCTTTACTGTGTCTTCATCTCCCACATTGGTTAGGGTTAACTTTACTGTGTCTTCATCTCCCACCTTGGTCAAGGTTAACTTTACTGTGTCTTCATCTCCCACATTGGTCAAGGTTAACTTTACTGTGTCTTCATCTCCCACATTGGTCAGGGTTATCATTACTGTGTCTTCATCTCCCACATTGGTCAAGGTTAACTTTACTGTGTCTCCATCTCCCACCTTGGTCAAGGTTAACTTTACTGTGTCTTCATCTCCCACATTGGTCAGGGTTATCATTACTGTGTCTTCATCTCCCACATTGGTCAAGGTTATCTTTACTGTGTCTTCATCTCCCACCTTGGTCAGGGTTAACTTTACTGTGTCTCCATCTCCCACCTTGGCCAGGGTTTCATACTTTCGTTATCAATATTTCATGTTATCCCAACTAATGAGTGAGTGAGTGAGTTGGGTTTAACGCCGCTTTTAACACTATTCCAGTTATAGCGCGGGAGGAAAGCCCGAAGTGATGCAGGTCTCAGACGTTTACGACTTCGGCGAAACCCACGAGCACGGGTATGGTGCTGACAAACCTAGAAACATAATCGGGGCGAACCGGGATTCGAACCCACAATCCCGGCGCCTTAGACGACTGGGCCACCCGTGCCGCCTCGACAGAGAGGAAGAGACAGGGGAAGAAAGAGAGGGAGTTAGAGGAAGAGGGAGAGAAAGGGGAAGAGAGTGAGGAAGAGAGGGAGAAAGAGAGAAAAAGAGACGGGAAGAGAGAGAGAGAAGGAGAGAGAGGGAGTAATAGAGGGATCGAGAGGAAGAGAGGCGGGACGAGAGAGAAGGAGATAGAGAAAGATGAAGAGAGAGGGAATGAGAGAAAGAGAGGTGAAGAATAAGAGGTAGAGAGACAGGGAAAGAAAGAGAGGAAGAGAGAGAGAAGAGAGAGGAGAAGAGGTATGCAGGCACCCTAACTAAAAACTCCTTTCATCAATGTTTTTTGTCACTTTCACATCGTTCCTCCATAGACGTAAATAGACGTATATAGACGATGCTAAACAGACATGTCTATCAACTGATCCTGACCATGACGCTGACCGTATCTTTCTCGTAAGGCGGTTTGACCCGGACCTCACCCGCATCTACAAGATGAAGGAAGGTGGTGAGCTGGGCCGTCTCCGCAGCGTCAATATATACAGCCTGGACAAACATGTCCCGCTCAGCTACGTCAAAACATCAGGTACGTATTACATGTCACTGTGCATGTACCAGTTAGCCACGTCGTTTATTTATTGTTGTTTAACGCCACACTCAGTAATTTTACAGCCTTAACCATCGAATCTGGACCAGATAATCCAGTGATTGACATGCGCAGCGATCTACACAATAGGGATACGATGACATGCTTCAACCAAGTCAGCGAGCCTGACCACCCGATCCCGTTAGTCTCCTCTGGCGACAAGTCTTTTACTGCAAGCATGGGTTGCTGAAGATAAATTCTACCCCGGATCTTCAAGGGTAGTCAGCCTATTCAAATTCATCAACGTCATCATATCACTATCAATACATATAAGCTCATGTATCTTATGCATTAAAGAATACCCCACACACTGGTATATTATAGAAAGTCACTGTTTCGGATATTCACTCGGGGTACAGACTAAAACCCCTGTGGATAAAAACCCAAAAGGTCAATGGTCCACCCGGACATCTCCTAAGTGAGAGCAACACCGTGTTCATTTAGAGTTGTGGGTGGATTTTGACTGTGACGTACACGTCTGCGAATGACGTCCCAGACGTGTTCAATAGGGGAAAGGTCAGTACTGGCCATGGCATGACATGGATGTTTTGCTGTTTGAGAAATTGGGTCACAATACCGGCACGATGAGCACGTGCATTATCATCTTTCAGATGAAACATTGTACAAATGGCTACACGAGTGGTGCAAGGATGTTGTCCAGTTGATACAAAAAGTAATTAATATAGAGCGTAAACGACCCGTGAAGATCGAGGGTAGAATAGATCTTCATCAACCCATGCTTGCTGTAAAAGGTGACTATGCTTGTCATAAGAGGCGACTAACGGGATCGGGTGGTCAGGCTCGCTGACTTGGTTGATGCATGTCATCGATCCCAATTGCATGGATCGATGCTCATGATATCAATCACTGGATTGTCGGGTCCAAACTCGATTATTTACAGACCGCCGTCATATAGCTGGAATGTTGCTGAGTGCGGCGTTAAACAACAAACCAACCAACCAATACTATAGAGCGTAAAGAGTCATACAGATATGACTCGACCCTGGCCAACGCCTTGTTTGACATGAAATACATCAGACTTTAAGCCAGCACCCCTAACACATGATACCATTGAGTTGTATAATAAACGCAGAATTCTCCATAGTGTTCCAGTAATTTCAAATTTATACAAAATGTAAAAGAGACCGTCAAGCTTTACCCGGTAGAATGATTTCTCATTATCAAGGAAAGCGCAGTATAAGGGTGAGTCTCTCTCGTTATAGTAGGCGAGATTTTCCATTATGGTAAGGACTGCTATCGGAGCGCCAGCGCCTTTTCTTAATCCACACTTAAAAGCACAGGGAAATGTGACATTGTCATTAGTCCACTTTTCTATTCATTCAAGTGGACATATTTCAATAAGTTACTTAAGACGGGAGTTAGTTACACCCCAGCGGATGGAAGGGTCACATTTACATTTCCCACGACCTTTGTATACAGGGGGGATTTGACAGACATTATATATCCTTGGAATATATTCGTTTGTAATAACAGTGTTAAATAACAATAGCATACTAGGATATTGTATCCATTATCTTCCTGAGTAGTTTTGATACAGGAAAAGTTGTAGGAAAGAGAATCAGTCGGAGGAGAAATGTTTTCTTCCATACACCGAGTCTTGGTAGTCTCATAGTTTTCAATGATAGACTGATACCTTGTTTATTATCTATAAGCTTTCGTTGACATTGTTTTTAGCGCTTTCTAAATATTCGCTTTGCTTGTTTATATTAGAAGATGGCATGTAGAAAGCCTGTGAACGATAACAATTCTGAATGAACACCCTTATCTGCGCTTTCCAAACACTGACAATAGGCCTTCCTGGTAAGCGACTCAAGCGCGCGCGTGCGTGTCGAGACAACACTGTTGTAGGTCACTGAATATCCATAATATTAAACATATTGTAATAAAATATACAGCTGGATAGTGATGAATTAGTATACACGGTGACAGTAATGTTGTGTGTCACTGTATATCAATATTCAAGATCATGTAATGAAACGTAGTGGTTAATACTCACATGGCATTCAATAATGGTGTACCTCACTGTTTGCCCCCTCTACACGAAGCCCAGCCTGCGAATGGGACTTCTCCCAGCAAGCGCTGCCGAACCAACCCTGAACTCATCGGAGAATGTGAAGACTCCCCAACACTGCAGCCTTCTGCATTTCCCAGATTTTCAGAAGGGCTGTATTCCTGGCAGCAAACCCGGGTACTCTCCCAATGTCAGTCAACAGATTGGGAGGTACCAAACCTAAGGCACCGAGAACAATGGGGAGTCGGACAACTTGGTACTTCGAAAGCGACATCCGCATATTTGCCATGTTTTTCCTCAATCTTGTCAATCACATTAGTGTCAAAAGGGACAGATAATTCAATGATGAAAATGATTTCATTGAATTTATCAAAAAGGACAAGATCAGGTTTGTTGGCCTTGGTAGATATGAGGTACCAAAGAATTGTGTATTTATCATTTTCCATGACGCCCTCTACATATTCCGGGTCGTAGCATGGGTGGACCTCTGTGTCAAAACCACAAGCATGGCGAAGACGGTAATAAAATGATCGAGCCACTTCATCATGTCGCTTAAGATACTGTGTTTGTGCCAATTTTGTATTATTACTATTACATAAAACCGCAAGTATCCAGGTACTAGCATCTGCTCAAATGCGGTTTTATTTGTTCCCCGACCAGTGGACCCCAGCTCTCATTCCAGTTATCATTCTCAACTCCCTGGGGAGTATATAACCTACGGGCGGTAGAAGGTTTTACATCCACCTCACATGTCGGGTACCCATTCCCTGCTGGTTGAACAGAGGCACATTTGAACTAAGTCACTTGTCCGAGTGACACCACACGTTTTTTCTCTTGTGTTTCGGGTGTATGTACCTATTCGTCTTTCCCCAATCTGGTCATCGACCATTGGACGAGTGGATTCCTTTGTGAGCATAATCCTATGTATGTATCCCCGTGCACGTTACCATTCAACTTACAATAAGCTTGAATACGACATAGGTCATGGGCTGTTCAACATACTGACGAGCACACTCAAGTAGCTATGTATGTACATACACGGTTGACCGCCTCCGTGGCCTAGAGGTAGAGCGTCCGCCCGGAGAACGGAAGGTCCGGGGTTCGATACCCGGCCGCGTCATTCCAAAAGACGTTAAAAGATGGTACTTGGTGTTACCCTGTCTGGCGCTCGGCATTAAGGGGCTAAAACAAGGACTGGTCGGCTCGGAGTCAGTATGCTGTGTCTGAGTGGGGTATTCATGTTAAACTGCGGCATGGTATTTCAGTGGGCTAGCACTATTAATCGGCATCAGTCCGGACTAGTACAAGCAGCCACACACACACATGTGCATGCACGTCGCTATATAAGTGCAATGATCTAGGACGCGACGTTAAACCCAATTTCACCTCACCTCACCTCACATACACGGTTATTCAAAACACAGTCGAGTAGGAACACATTGAGAACAACAAAACATGCACAGTTATTCAAACTACAAACGAGCATGAACATAACCAAGACCCATTGCGCTTACAACTTTCAACGTCCACTATTTTGAATTTCTAAATGGTAAAAAGTAAATAGTACGTGCGCCGCGATTTATACCATTCATTGTATTCTGCAATGTTGGTGAGGATTTAACACACATGTATGTACAATGACGATCGGCAACACACTCTATGTGATATACACTACATACAGTATAGTTAATGTGTGTGAGAGATTCTCAAGATAATATTTAAACCACATAAACTGATGAGTCAAAGTATAACGAGTTTGAACATTGAAAGAACTGTTGTTAAATTTAATTTAACCATCACTCATACCCGCAACTATTTGTAAAAAGTAATCTCCGCGAACTCGGCAGTGTTCTTACTAGAGAGTTCAGTGACTGACGATCTCTAGCCCATTTTTATATTGTGTTGTTCACTGATACTTATGGCTTTTATATCTTTCTCAACTAGTTTTAAATCGAATCTGTGATATTCTAGTTCTTGTACTGTCCTTCGTTGACAGCTTTTTACTAATTCTAAATCTATTTATTATTAATGTCCTTCTCGTCACGATATGGCTGTAATACTGCCGATGTGACGTTAAATCTTAACTCACTCACTCACTCTTACTAGAGAGTGGAATAATCTTCCCTTGGCGATCATCCAGACTCTCATTGGGAGCATTCGACGACGGTGCCACGCTGTGATCGCATCAGGTGGATCACGTATGCGCAACTGAGAGTTGTTTTTTTTACAATGATTTTCTTAATTTCGTGATTGTTGACGTTTCAGTTTTGGTCAGATACTCTCATTTTAACGGGTTATCTGACTGACTATTGGCCACGCGTTGTTTGTTTGCATTATGTTGCATATGACAACGTGGTACATGACAACGAAGTCCTTAGCACACTTTGAGTAGTATAGTTAAAAGGAACTAAAAGGAAATCAAAATGGCAGTTTGTGAACAGTTTCGATATATTCTATTTGCACATAGGGGGTAATTCGTGAACAGTTACCACATATTCTATTTGCACAAAGTGGGTATATTTGTGAATAGTTACCACATATTCTATTTGCACAAAGTGGGTATATTTGTGAATAGTTACTACATATTCTATTTGCACAAAGTGGGTATATTTGTGAATAGTTACCACATATTCTATTTGCACAAAGTGGGTATATTTGTGAATAGTTACTACATATTCTATTTGCACAAAGTGGGTATATTTATGAACAGTTACCACATATTCTATTTGCACAAAGTGGGTATATTTATGAATAGTTACCACATATTCTATTTGCGCATGGGGGTATATTTGTGAATAGTTACGACATATTCTATTTGCACAAAGTGAGTATATTTGTAAATAGTTACCACATATTCTATTTGCACATAGGGGGTAATTTGGGAACAGTTACCACATATTCTATTTGCACAAAGTGGGTATATTTGTGAATAGTTACTACATATTCTATTAGCACAAAGTGGGTATATTTGTGAATAGTTACCACATATTCTATTTGCACAAAGTGGGTATATTTGTGAATAGTTACTACATATTCTACTTGCACAAAGTGGGTATATTTGTGAATAGTTACTACATATTCTATTTACACAAAGTGGCTATATTTGTGAATAGTTACCACACATTCTGTTTGCACATAGGGGGTATATTTGTGAATAGTTACCACATATTCTATTTGTTCACATGAGGTATATTTGCGAACAGTTATGATATGTTCTGTTTGTACACAGGGGGTATATTGGTGGACAGTGTTATCCACATGCTGGACTATGTGTGTTGGTTTGTTGGGGAGCGTCCGCAGACCGTGTATGTATGTGGCAGCAACACCTCGGCGTACGCTGAAGACTACCAGGCGTGTGACGACCACGACATCGCAAACATCGTACTCACCTTTCCGGGCGGGGTGTTAGCTAACCTGACGGCGGGTAGGGAAGTCCCATATGGATACGATCAACACTTCCAGGTGCAGTAAATACCAGGTTATAGGAACATTAAACAACAGGTTCCAATAAAGCTACTACCAGGTTCTGGGTGCAGTCAATACCAGGTTCTTTGTGCAGTAAATATCAGGTTCTGGGTAGGGTTCATACCAGGTTCTGGGTGCAGTTAATACCAGGTTCTTTGTGCAGTAAATACCAGGTTCTGGGTAGGGTTCATACCAGGTTCTGGGTGCAGTTAATACCAGGTTATGGGTAAAGTAAATACCAGGTTCTGGGTAGGGTTCATACCAGGTTCTTGGTGCAGTTAATACGAGGTTCTTTGTGCAGTAAATACCAGGTTCTGGGTAAAAGTTAATACCAGGTTCTGGGTAGGGTTCATACCAGGTTCTGAGTGCAGTTCATACCAGGTTCAGGGTGCAGTAAATACCAGGTTCTGGGTAAAGGTTAATACCAGGTTCTGGGTAGGGTTCATACCAGGTTTTGGGTACAGTTAATACCAGGTTCTTTGTGCAGTACATACTAGGTTCTGGGCAAGGTTCACACCAGGTTCTGGGTAAAGTTCATTCCAGGTTCCGAGTAAAGTAAATACCAGGTTCTGGGTAAGGTTAATACCAGGCTCCGGGTAAGGTTTGTACAAGCATCTAGGTAAAGGTTAATACCAGGTTCTGGGTTCAGTTAATAAAAGGTTCTGTGTGCAGTAAATACCAGGCTCCGGGTAAAGTAAACACCAGGTTCTGGGTAAGGTTAATACCAGGTTTTGGGTACAGTTAATACCAGGTTCTTTGTGCAGTACATACTAGGTTCTGGGCAAGGTTCACACCAGGTTCTGGGTAAAGTTCATTCCAGGTTCCGAGTAAAGTAAATACCAGGTTCTGGGTAAGGTTAATACCAGGCTCCGGGTAAGGTTTGTACAAGCATCTAGGTAAAGGTTAATACCAGGTTCTGGGTTCAGTTAATAAAAGGTTCTGTGTGCAGTAAATACCAGGCTCCGGGTAAAGTAAACACCAGGTTCTGGGTAAGGTTAATACCAGGTTTTGGGTACAGTTAATACCAGGTTCTTTGTGCAGTACATACTAGGTTCTGGGCAAGGTTCACACCAGGTTCTGGTAAAGTTCATTCCAGGTTCCGAGTAAAGTAAATACCAGGTTCTTGGTAAGGTTAATACCAGGCTCCGGGTAAGGTTTGTACAAGCATCTAGGTAAAGGTTAATACCAGGTTCTGGGTTCAGTTAATAAAAGGTTCTGTGTGCAGTAAATATCAGGCTCCGGGTAAAGTAAACACCAGGTTCTGGGTAAGGTTAATACCAGGTTTTGGGTACAGTTAATACCAGGTTCTTGGGGCAGTAAATACCAGGTTCTGGGTAAGGTTCACACCCGGTTCTGGGTAAAGTAAATACCAGGTTCAGGGTGAAGTAAATACCAGGCTCTGGGTAAAGTAGATACCAGGTTGTGGGTAAAGTAAATACCAGGTTCTGCGTAAAGGTTCATTCCAGGTTCTGCGTAAAGGTTAATACCAGGTTTTGGGTGCAGTAAATACCAGGTACTGGGTAAGGTTAATACCAGGTTCTGGGTGCAGTAAATACCAGGTTCTGGGTAAGGTTCACACCCGGTTCTGGGTAAAGTAAATACCAGGTTCAGGGTGAAGTAAATACCAGGCTCTGGGTAAAGTAGATACCAGGTTGTGGGTAAAGTAAATACCAGGTTCTGCGTAAAGGTTCATTCCAGGTTCTGCGTAAAGGTTAATACCAGGTTTTGGGTGCAGTAAATACCAGGTACTGGGTAAGGTTCATAACAGGTTCTGGGTAAGCTTTGTACAAGCATCTAGGTAAAGGTTAATACAAGGTTCTGTGTGCAGTTAATACCAGGCTCCGGGTAAAGTAAATGCCAGGTTCTGGGTAAGGTTAATACCAGGATCCGGGTAAAGTAAATACCATGTTCTGGTTAAGGATTGTACAAGCATCTAGGTAAAGGTTAATACCAGGTTCTGGGTACAGTTAATACAAGGTTCTGTGTGCAGTAAGTACCAGGTTCCGGGTAAAGTAAATACCAGGTTCTGGGTAAGGTTCATTCCAGGTTCTGCGTAAAGGTTAATACCAGGTTCTGGGTAAGGTTAATACCAGGTTCTGGGGGCAGTAAATATCAGGTTCTTAGTAAGGTTCACACCAGGTTCTGGGTAAGGTTCGCACCAGGGTCTGGGTAAGATTAATACCAGGTTCTGGGAGCAGTAAATATCAGGTTCTGGGTAAGGTTCATTCCAGGTTCTGCGTAAAGGTTAATACCAGGTTCTGGGTAAAGTTAATACCAGGTTCTTGGGGCAGTAAATATCAGGTTCTGGGTAAGGTTCATTCCAGGTTCTGCGTAAATGTTAATACCAGGTTCTGGGTAAGGTTAATACCAGGTTCTGGGGGCAGTAAATATCAGGTTCTGGGTAAGGTTAATACCAGGTTCTGGGTAAGGTTCATTCCAGGTTCTGGGTAAGGTTCATTCCAGGTTCCGGGTAAAGTAAATACCAGGTTCTGTGTAAAGGTTCATTCCAGGTTCTGCGTAAAGGTTAATACCAGGTTTTGGGTGCAGTAAATACCAGGTACAGGGTAAGGTTCATTCCAGGTTCTAGGTAAGGTTAATACCAGGTTCAGGGTAAGGTTAATACCAGGTTCTTGGTGAAGTAACGACCAAGCTCTGGGTAAGGTTCATACCAGGTTCTGGGTAAAGGTTCATACCAGCTTCTGTGTGCCGTAAATACCAGGTTCTGGGTAAAGGTTAATACCAGGTTTTGGGTGCCATAAATACCAGGTTTTGGTTAAGGTTCATTCCAGGTTCTGGGTGCAGTAAATACCAGGTTCTGGGTAAAGTTAATACCAGGTTCTGCGTAAAGGTTCATTCCAGGTTCTGCGTAAAGGTTAATACCAGCTTCTGTGTGCCGTAAATACCAGGTTCTGGGTAAAGGTTAATACCAGGTTTTCGGTGCCATAAATACCAGGTTTTGGTTAAGGTTCATTCCAGGTTCTGGGTAAAGTAAATACCAGGTGCTGGGTAAAGTAAATACCAGGTTCTGCGTGAAGGTTCATTCCAGGTTCTGCGTAAAGGTTAATACCAGGTTTGGTTGCAGTAAATACCAGGTACTGGGTAAGGTTCATACCAGGTTCTGGGTAAGGTTTGTACAAGGATCTAGGTAAAGGTTAATACAAGGTTCTGTGTGCAGTTAATACCAGGCTCCGGATAAAGTAAATGCCAGGTTCTGGGTAAGGTTAATACCAGGATCCGGGTAAAGTAAATACCATGTTCTGGTTAAGGTTTGTACAAACATCTAGGTAAAGGTTAATACCAGGTTCTGGGTACAGTTAATACAAGGTTCTGTGTGCAGTAAGTACCAGGTTCCGGGTAAAGTAAATACCAGGTTCTGGGTAAGGTTCATTCCAGGTTCTGCGTAAAGGTTAATACCAGGTTCTGGGTAAGGTTAATACCAGGTTCTGGGGGCAGTAAATATCAGGTTCTTGGTAAGGTTCACACCAGGTTCTGGGTAAGGTTCACACCAGGTTCTGGGTAAGGTTAATACCAGGTTCTGGGGGCAGTAAATATCAGGATCTTGGTAAGGTTCACACCAGGTTCTGGGTAAGGTTCACACCAGGTTCTGGGTAAGGTTAATACCAGGTTCTGGGGGCAGTAAATATCAGGTTCTGGGTAAGGTTCATTCCAGGTTCTGCGTAAAGGTTAATACCAGGTTCTGGGTAAGGTTAATACCAGGTTCTGGGGGCAGTAAATACCATGTTCTGGTTAAGGTTTGTACAAACATCTAGGTAAAGGTTAATACCAGGTTCTGGGTACAGTTAATACAAGGTTCTGTGTGCAGTAAGTACCAGGTTCTGGGTAAAGTAAATACCAGGTTCTGGGTAAGGTTCATTCCAGGTTCTGCGTAAAGGTTAATACCAGGTTCTGGGTAAGGTTAATACCAGGTTCTGGGGGCAGTAAATATCAGGTTCTTGGTAAGGTTCACACCAGGTTCTGGGTAAGGTTCACACCAGGTTCTGGGTAAGGTTAATACCAGGTTCTGGGGGCAGTAAATATCAGGTTCTTGGTAAGGTTCACACCAGGTTCTGGGTAAGGTTCACACCAGGTTCTGGGTAAGGTTAATACCAGGTTCTTGGGGCAGTAAATATCAGGTTCTGGGTAAGGTTCATTCCAGGTTCTGCATAAAGGTTAATACCAGGTTCTGGGTAAGGTTAATACCAGGTTCTGGGGGCAGTAAATATCAGGTTCTGGGTAAGGTTAATACCAGGTTCTGGGGGCAGTAAATATCAGGTTCTGGGTAAGGTTAATACCAGGTTCTGGGGGCAGTAAATATCAGGTTCTTGGTAAGGTTCACACCAGGTTCTCGGTAAGGTTCACACCAAATTCTGGGTAAGGTTAATACTAGGTTCTGGGGGCAGTAAATATCAGGTTCTGGGTAAGGTTCATTCCAGGTTCTGCGTAAAGGTTAATACCAGGTTCTGGGTAAGGTTAATACCAGGTTCTGGGGGCAGTAAATATCAGGTTCTGGGTAAGGTTCATTCCAGGTTCTGCGTAAATGTTAATACCAGGTTCTGGGTAAGGTTAATACCAGGTTCTGGGGGCAGTAAATATCAGGTTCTGGGTAAGGTTAATACCAGGTTCTGGGTAAGGTTCATTCCAGGTTCTGGGTAAGGGTCATTCCAGGTTCCGGGTAAAGTAAATACCAGGTTCTGTGTAAAGGTTCATTCCAGGTTCTGCGTAAAGGTTAATACCAGGTTTTGGGTGCAGTAAATACCAGGTACAGGGTAAGGTTCATTCCAGGTTCTGGGCAAGGTTTTACCAGATTCTGGGTAAGGTTAATACCAGGTTCTGGGGGCAGTAAATACCAGGTTCAGGGTAAGGTTAATACCAGGTTCTTGGTGAAGTAACGACCAAGGTCTGGGTAAGGTTCCTAACAGGTTCTGGGTAAAGGTTAATACCAGGTTTTGGGTGCAGTAAATACCAGGTTTTGGTTAAGGTTCATACCAGCTTCTGTGTGCCGTAAATACCAGGTTCTGGGTAAAGGTTAATACCAGGTTTTGGGTGCCATAAATACCAGGTTTTGGTTAAGGTTCATTCCAGGTTCTTGGTGCAGTAAATACCAGGTTCTGGGTGCAGTAAATACCAGGTTCTCAGTGCACTAAATACAAGGTTCTGGGTACGGTTAATACCAGGTTCTGGGTAGGGGTCATACCAGGTTCTGGGTGCAGTAAATACCAGATTCTGGGTGCACTAAATACCAAGTTCTCGGTAAGGTTCATACCAGGTTCTGGGTGCAGTAAATACCAGGTTCTGGGTAGGGTTCATATCAGGTTCTGGGTAGGGTTCATACCAGGTTCCGAGTAGTAAATACCAGGTTCTGGGTGCAGTAAATACCAGGTTCTGGGTTAAGTAAATACCAGGTTCCGGTTGAGTTAATACCAGATTGCGGGTAAAGTAAATACCTTGTTCCGGGTACAGTCAATTCCAGGTTCCGGGTATCATTGTGTGATGAATCTGAAGCAAACTAATTATTCTTAGTACTTACTGTCACAAACTTTTAACAGAATCCCAATCCCCTTCCAAGAACATGAAATGATAGGGACCTTAAAGCAAGATTCCAGTTCTATGACGGCAGTCTGTAAATAATCGAGTCTGGACGAGACAATCCAGTGATTGATGTCATGAGCATCGATCCACGCAATTGGGATACGATGACGAGCATCAAGCACAATCCCGTAGGTCGCCTCTTACGACAAGCATAGTCGCCTTTTACGGCAAGCATTGGTTGCTGAAGACATATTCTACCCCGGATCTTCACGGGTGAGAGTATCTTCTAGACATGTAAGGAAAGGCTAAGCTGAAAAAGAACACAACTCGTGTTTTAAGACAAGGAGAGTGAATGTCTGTGTATCGATGTATCAACAAATCTATTCTATGTGTGTCCTTGTATTAGGTTCTCGGTTCAAAGAAGATGGCAGTGTCCAAAAACTACAGGAAGTCGGAAGTGGAAGTCTGGGATGCAAATGGCAGTTTGGAAGACGACTTGCTGGAGTCTTTCATTGAGAGGTGGCGCTCCAGCTATACAAGGATTGTACAGCACTTCATCAAGGTTGTTCACGGTGAGTGTCACGCTGGCCCAGTCGTCTGAGGCGATGTGCAAGACCAAGAGTTCCGTCCCTTAGGCATGCCAGAAACATGATTGTGGGTTCGAATCCTAGTTCGCTCCAATTGTGTTTCTAGGTTTGTCAGCACCATACACGAGCTCGTTGGTTTCACTAAAGTGGTAAAAGTCTGAGACCTGCATCACTTCGGGCTTTTCTCCCACATTAAGCTGATACGCCGTGATATAACTTGAGTACTGTCACTTACACACTAATGATGTCGATGCTGCAGGGCGAGAGGAGTGCGGAGTGTCGGCGGAGGAGTGCCTTCAGAGCCTGGAGCTTGTGCAGTTGTGCCAGGAGTCATTGAGGTCAGGCAAGGTCATCGGTGTACCCCAGCGGAAAGCGTGAAGACACATGTCTGAAATTTTCGTCACATCTCGAACCAAACCGTCTTTCGATGGCCATATCACATCACATGTTAATAAATATGATTGGAAGTCAGCGTGATTTGTTGTCGGTGGCTAATGCCCTTTTCCCACATACAAGATGATGCTATGGTAGAACACGATTTTTCAATTATTCACAATAGCAATGGCGGCGTACACATGTTCGTGGTCAATCGTGGTCCACCATAGCGCATCGTAAGGGAACTTGATGCCGCCGTGAAGGAGCACAATTTTTAGGAATGTTCAAAAACATTTTGCTCTACCATAGTACCAGTGGGTGATAATAAGCAACAACGGGGACCTTCTTGTGACGCTTGGGGGAGCAGGATAGAGGAGGGTAATCAGATTGAAACAGTGAAGATACGTGAAACATTGAAATAAATGGGATAACTGTGAAAATAATCGTGGTCCACCGCAGCAGCATCGGAAGAGAGTCGTAACGCTGTCGTGGTATGTCGTGACGCCGTCTTGTTCATTCGTATTCATTCGTAGTGGCCACAACACCTACAGCAAGCCAAGACTTCGCTACGGTGCTGATACGATGACGCTACGATGATGGTACGACCAATCACGACTTGATCAAGACGCCATCAAGAACGTATTTTTGAATCCGGTGACTCTTTTTGGTCGTCGGAACGTTCAATTAACAAGCTGTCGTGCCAAATTTGAGAAAGAAGACATTTATGCTGGTTTATACTTCACATTATTTCTGAAGTGTTAGGGCATCAGTTTTTAATTGTTTCTGGATTTAATTATCGTGTGAACCTTGTGACAAGTTGGAGAGGGAAAATTCTTTATTACACAGTATTACCATGGAGCATGTCATGGGTGTTGGGGTCTTCGATGTCTATTATCCGTGCAGCTTGACGTGGGTATCTCACTGCCAGGAGGTTGTGCCTCACACAACAGACCATCACAATGCTTTCCACTCTATGCAGGTGTTGCTGCATGTGTTGCTGCATTGTAGTCAGGGGGCATCTGAACCGGTGAGCCAAAACACCAAATTTGTTTTCAGCCATTCTGTGTGCCCCCGACAGATGGTAGTTTAATATTCTTTCGTCATGCATCGGGTGGGGTAGAGTTTCATGAGCTACGTTCGACGGTACAAAGCGTCATCTCCTCCCAAAGCGTAGGGGGGCATGGGCTGGTCATCATTTGGGAGTGGTTCATCGTCTAAGGCGCCGCGATTCGCTGTGCAGAGTTGCGTCCCTTGGGCACGCCAGAAACCTATAATTATGGGTTCGAATCCTGGTTCAACCCGATTAGGTTTCTAGGCTTGTCAGTACCCTACCCGTGCTCGTGGGTTTCACCGAAGTGGTAAACGTCTGAGACCTGCATCACTTCGGGCTTTCCTCCCACATCAAGCTGACACGCCGTGATATAACTGGAATACTGTTAAAAGCGGCGTTAAACCCAACTCACTCACTCATTCCAGGGTAATGGCATTACTGGTTTCAGGGAGGATTTTACTTATTGTGTATTACGCCACCGAAACCCACACGGGAGACTTTTATATGAATCCCCCGTTGCCCTGTCGAGCAGACTTGTTGCAATCCGAATACCTTGGTCTCGGGACATGCGCCAAAAGGTATCCTTCTTCGGTATATGAGGTTCAACGCGTTCCACCAACTCACTGAAACATTCGGGGCGGTCGGGTACCCTAGTGGTTAAAGCGTTCGCTCGTCACGCAGAAGACCCGGGTTCGATTCCCGACATGGATACAAGCCCATTTGTGGTGACCCCCGGCGTGATATTGCTGGAATATTGCTAAAAGCGGCGTAAAAACCATACTCACTCACTGAAACGTTCATTGGTCACACGGAGAAAGTCCATGTAAACTTGAATTTTATCGAAAAAAATAAATCATTCCCTAAAATGCTTGAAATAAAACAACTATGTTTCAAACTGATAACAAAAAATGCCTACCACAAAAATGGCATTGCTTTATCTTCTTAAAAATCAGGCTGATGGTTTTAAATTTTAAAAAATACATCTGGTTTTGCAGCTGTGGCTGAAATATAATACCTTATCTCGATACCCATTTCCAGCCAGCACCCCATCCCACAAAGAATATATAAGTAGTTATCAACGTCGGACTCACAACAATGTCGGCATTTATCTCCTGCCCATCCGTCTGTCCTTAAACAATATGGGGGACATGGGTGGCCCAGGCGTCTAAGGCACCGCAATTCGCTGTGCAGAGTTGCGTCCCTTGGGCAAGCCAGAAACCTATAATTATGGGTTCGAATCCCGGTTCATCCCGATTATGTTTCTAGGCTTGTCAGCACCCTACCCGTGCTCGTGGGTTTCACCGAAGTGGTAAACGTCCGATACCTGCATCACTTCGAGATTTCCTCCCACATTAAGCTGACATGCCCTGATATAACTGGAATAATCTTAAAAGCGGTGTTAAACCCAACTCACAACAAAGTGGAGGAATAAAACACTTATCACTCGCTGAGCAAGATATCCTAATTGATATTGGTTCGGGTGCCATATGTGCTGAACAAGAAAAGTTAGGGATCTTATCCTGCAAGCTTCACGATCTCTAACCCTTTTTGTTCCATATAGGCTCCAAGCACTTTGGGCTTACTCCAATTGACATAAATAAATGCCGGTGCCCCCTCCACTTAGTAACACATGGATATAGGAGTTCTAGTGATCCCATGTTCTGTTCAGAGTGCAAGGGCAACTATTTTATGCACGAGCTTCACCGACTTGACTGCCGATCATCCATGTAACATATAACACAAGACCCGTGAAGATCCGGGCTAGAATAGGTCTTCAGTAACCCATGCTTGCCGTAAAAGGCGACTATTCTTGTTTGGGTGGTCAGCCTCGCTGACTCTGTTGATGTATGTCATCATATCCAAATTGCATGGATTGATGCTCATGATGTCAATCACTGGATTATCTGGACCAGACTGCCATCACATAGCTGAAATATTGCTGAACGCAGTGTTAAACAACAAACAATCTATAACATAAGTCGATGATGAAAGCTGTAAAAATTTTTATTACAACATGATGTGTCTATGACAACAGAAGACAGCAACAGTCTAGATGATTCTACAAGTTAGGGTTTGGCCAATCACAGTCGTTGTAAAATTTACAATGGATGGTTCAAACCTGCCACAACCTCTAAGCATCACATCCTGTCTTGCACGTACCTGTCCGAGAATACAGTGAGTGTGTGCATGCACCCATATCCCCCCAGCATAGAGGGGTCTGGAAGAGCATATCATACTGCAGAGTCAAGGACAGCCCAGCCCGTTTTCCAAAAGGATACAAAATATTATCTGCCAACCAGCAATTAAAGACTGCGCTTTCATTTTATACTGCTATATTTTTTTACCAAAAGAGAAAAAAAAAAATTTTCAGTCAATATATCCTGGACCAGAGTCCTCTTTTTTTGAGTATTTTAATCAATTTTATCACTGCTCCACACAGCTGAACATGGGAAAGAGGTTGGAAGCATTTACCCTTTAAGACGCGTGTAAGATTGAAGCCAGAAGGAAAACTAGTGTGTTTTTTCTAAAAAAATCACTACAAAGCCAGGTAGATAGATATTGTTTCTATTTATCCATGAGTCACACATATAGTATACATCATTGTTGAAAAAACTTTTAATTCTTAACACTATAAAAAGCAGACAATAAACTCCCATATAATGTGTGAGGCCCACTGACTGCCAGGGTTAGGGTTGTTCAACTGGCTGCTTTCAAAATAGTCTCATACACATCACCGAATGTTGTTGCTACACCAAGAGAGTTACCTCCCTTCCACTGCAATCCAACTGTGGACTTATAACTCCTTCAGTCCTGGAGGAATGGAATGTATGAATGTTGCATAAAGGTATAGTTTACATAACAAAATAAGACATATTTTGACCTCAGTGAAAGGGAGATAGCTTTTCTTGCATTACACGGTTACAATGACAACCTATCTACAGGTACACTGAGCATTACGCCAGACCAACATGCACGCGAATATACATGGTATCCCACTGCTGAAACAGGCCACACTCCCCCACCCCATCGAATCTGAGGTAGGTTGCAAGTGTGGGGCTGTTTGTATTCTCTAATTCTATAATAGCACTTGTCTGAGGTGGAGGCCGTACACGATTATACAAAACAATTTCCTTTCAGACAAAATAGTGTGTATAAATACAGCATCCTTCTTAAACGTACACATAACACAACAACGAAGTGCAAGTGTGCCCTTTTGAATGTAGTTGAGTATATATACCAAAGGTAATGGTAGGCATAAATACAGATGTGGCTCAAAGGCTGCTGCACAGAAAACTGAAGGAGACGAATTTAAGTAAGAGGGGAACATATCTGCACAACACAGGCAGAAGAACGTAAGTATGAAAAATTATACCACCACGCCTGGTGGATAAACAGAAGTATGACATAATGTATTTAAACACAACACACGCAGAAGAACGTAAGTATGAAAGATTATACCACCACGCCTGGTGGATAAACAGAAGTATGACATAATGTATTTAAACAATGTTACAGGCAGAAGAACTTTAAAAGTCAATACAGGTAACAGTTTTTGAACACGTACACACAAAAACACCAGTCTTCAAAAATACGAAGACTGATGAGGAAAATAGTGACATAAACCTTGCTTTCCAAATAGTTGTCTTCTCAACTTCCCTGAATTAATTACACTAAACACATATCTGGATTTCAGGCGACAACATTTAACACTTAAGGCCATAACAACTTAGATCAGTTATTGCTGAGATGGGAAGAAATTATTATCTTAGACTGTCTGGAATAAAAGTCTATTAAAACAACAGTGAATTAACTTGACATAAAAGGAGCCTGTAGTAAGACACTGGCAAGGAATATTCTCCAAATAAGCTTGACGTTCCGGAAGTTTCAGTTCCTTGAAACTGAAATTGAAACGTTTCAAGAGCCAACTTTCTCAGTAAACTTTTGATGACTATCAACTGTCCAAACTTCTGAGAGTATCTCAGCAAACTTTTGATATATCATACAGCCAAGTAATATTGTCAGCTGTCTGCAGGCTTGAGTGGTGGGGAGGTCAAGTTAATCTGGACTCGCTGTTGCCTCTTCAGCACTTGCAGCTTCATATTTCCCTACTCTTATTGTTGTATAATCTCAGAAGCTCATAACACTTTCTGTAGCACTCCAGCGAGCAGGCACACAATGGCCAGAGTTGTGGTCCCTGTCAGGGAAGTTGCACCATTCATATCTGAAACACAGAGCACACAATATAAATACTTACTCCAGGAAGTGTCATTATGTGCAAACATGTACTGACATTTTGAAAAATCATCTTTGATTCTTTTGGTAATATTTGTCAACATGCCTAAAAAATCAAATTAAGTTGTTTTGTGTTTTCAGTCATGAGGTAATCAAACACAACAATGCCGTCATTTGCGTTTGGATCCTCATTCAAAGTGCTTCAAATTGGACAAAAACACATCTTCATGGTGTGCCAGTGTATATGCAACAGTAAGTGAAGATAGACATGAGCGAACTGCATTAAGAAAATCATAGTGAGTGAGTGAGTATGGTTTTACACCGATTTTAGCAATATTCCAGCAATATCACGGCGGGGGACACCGCAAATGGGCTTCACACATTGTACCCATGTCGGGAATCGAACCCGGGTCTTCAGCGTGACGATCGAACACTTTAACCACTAGGCTACCCAACCGCTCCAAGAAAATCATAGAGTTACAATAATTGAATACAATTAAGGAATTTATGACTACTTTGAAACAACTATTCATGTCATTGAATACCATACAAGTCTCAGGAAACATTGCACTCTGAATTACAAACTACTGTTCACACGTGTCAAGGCGTTAATGGTACAAATCAGACATTAAGTGACAGAATCACACATCCACCACCTGTAGGACATTACAAGAGAACTGTTAACGTGCCCTGTACATAGGGCCCACACCATGAATTTCCTTGCACCTGCATGATAAGAAACAGGTGAGCAAATCAGCAACCCAAATTATTTCCACCTCAGAAATGTGCAGTTAACACTCGAGTTAATTTAGAGTGAGCGAGTATGGTTTTACGTCGCTTTTAGCAATATTCCAGCAATATGACACCCGGGGACACCTGAAATTGGCTCCACTCATTGTACCCATGTCGGGAATGGAACCCGGGTCTTCGGCGTGACGAGTAAACACTTTAACCACTAGGCTACCTGACTGTCCCTTAGTTAATCAAAATGCTTAAATTCATACATCCTTATCGGTACTGTGTAAACTGGGATAAATTGAAACACCCTGCATCACTGCCATCCATGAAAACACTGGCAGTGCACTCAGGCGTCCTGGGCATGCTGAGGCCTCCTGTCTATCTGTATCCATCCAGATGGCTGAAATATTGCCAGACTACAGGCCAACATTGTTGAGATAGGAAGATGGAAGAGCAAGTGAGGTGGCAAGGTGAAATCACTACACTTTTATAAGAAAGTGTATGTTGTGAGAGAGGTGACGAGAGTTGGGTCCAAGATTATTGCACTTATATAGCGACATGCATGCATGTGTATGTGTGGCTGCTTGTACTAGTCCGGACTGATGCCAATTTATAGTGCTAGCTCACTGACTGAGATACCATGCCACAGTTTAACTTGAATACCCCACTCAGACACAGTATACTGACTCCAAGCCGACCAGTCCTTGTTTTATCCCTTTAATGCCAGACAGGGTAACAACAAGTACCATCTTTTAACGGAGAGTGAGGGAGAATGTTGTGACTGCTTGTCTAAGTCCATACTGATGCCAATTTCATAGTGCTAGCCCACTGAGATACCATGTCGCATTTAACATGAATAGCCCACTCAGACAAGTCAACTCCGAGCCAACCAGTCCTTGTTTGAGCCCCTTAATGCTGAGCGCCAGGGAGGGTAACAACAACTACAATCATTTCACGTCTTTTGGTATAACATGGCTATGGATTGAACCCTTGCCCTTCCGTTCTCCCACCAGACCATGGTTGGTTGGTTAGTTTGTTGTTTAACACCGCACTCAGCAATATTCCAGCTATATGGTGGTGGCCAGTAAATAATTGAGTCTGGACCAGACAATCCAGTGATTGATATCATGAGCAGTTAGGATCGATGACATGCATCAACTAAGTCAGCGAGCCTGACCACCCGATCCCGTTAGTCGCCTCTTATGACAAGCATAGTTGCATTTTACGGCAAGCATGTGTTGCTGAAGACCTATTCTATCCCAGCTCTTCAAGACCAGACCGTGGAAATGGTCATATAATATTGGGGGGAAGGTAAGGAGATGAGAAAACCATTTCATGTGGAGTAGGGTCAGCAAGGTAGGTGGCTGTGTGGGTATTGGATTGGATGGAGGCATTTCTTATGGTTTTGGGTGGTGGTGTAGTTGTTGTGCAGGTGTGGTAGCATGGGATGGGTAGATATGGAGGGTAGAACTAGTGTGTATCTGGTTTTGTATGTAGTCGTGGAAATAGATCAAGACTCCTGGATGGAAAATAGCATTGCTCTGATGACATGAAATAGTTACTAGCATATAAAACACCTACATCTATGTGAAAATTGATTGAAAGCGCCAGCTTGCAATTTGATTACATCAAGTTAAAGCTATATGATCAAGCAGGGAGAGATTAAAAAAATCTTAACCTTGAGCAGCAGATACTGAAATGACGAAACAGAATTTTAAATATATTATGATGAATGATGACTAGCTTCTGCCAAGCAATTCAGATGATGCCCTATGGCTGCTGTGGTGTAAACAATATCCTGCATCCCATGCCCACAACCCATGACATTGGTATCTTGCAGCCAACAGCTCTATCTCAAGGTGTGCACCTCTCCTAATGTCATGAACACGGAACCCGTGGTTTCCCTTCTCCCCATAGATGTTAGGGTCAGTTGTTAATGGAAAGTCATGCAAACTCAGACAAAGGAACCTTCATAACATTGTCAAACATGCAAGTGTTAAAAAATCCAAATGTAAAGTGATGTATCATGTACAGCTGCCACTAAATTGCGTAGTTCTCAGAATAACTGAGGCTTGCAGATAAGATGGCTTCTGAACTCTGTCATGCAGACATTGCTTCAAGCAGGGCTTTGCAGTCAATGGGTCTACCCAGGCTCTTAGTCAATGTGTGTCAATGAGAACTTGCAGTGCATGAACCAGTACCCTGTTCCACAATCTGAACTTAGCGCTACAAATATCATAAACCAAATTTAAAGTATGTGACTTACAATCACCTTAACGCTTTGGACACTTTGTGGAACTGGTTCAATGTGTCACCCAGGGCTTGCAGTCAATGTGTCACCGAGGGCTTGCAGGAAATGCTTCAACCAGGGCTTGCAGTAAATGCTTCAACCAGGGCTTGCAGTCAATGTGTCACCCAGGGCTTGCAGTAAATGCTTCAACCAGGGCTTGCAGTCAATGTGTCACCCAGGGCTTGCAGCAAATGCTTCAACCAGGGCTTGCAGTCAATGCTTTAACCAGGGCTTGCAGTCAATGTGTCAACCAGGGCTTGCAGTCAATGTGTCACCCAGGGCTTGCAGTAAATGTGTCACCAAGGGCTTGCAGTCAATGTGTCACCCAGGGCTTGCAGTCAATGTGTCAACCAGGGCTTGCAGTAAATGTGTCGACCAGGGCTTGCAGTCAATGTGCCACCAAGGGCTTGCAGTCAATGTATCACCAATGGCTTGCAGTCAATGTGTCAACCAGGGCTTGCAGTCAGTGTGTCACCCTGGGCTTGCAGTCAGTGTGTCACCCAGGGCTTGCAGTCAATGCGTCACCCAGGGCTTGCAGTAAATGCTTCAACCAGGGCTTGCAGTCAATGTGTCACCCAGGGCTTGCAGTCAATGCGTCACCCAGCGCTTGCAGCAATTGCTTCAACCAGGGCTTGCAGTAAATGCTTTAACCAGGGCTTGCAGTCAATGTGTCACCCAGGGCTTGCAGTCAATGCTTCAATCAGGGCTTGCAGTCAATGTGTCACCCAGGGCTTGCAGCAAATGCTTCAACCAGGGCTTGCAGCAAATACTTCAACCAGGGCTTGCAGTCAATGTTTCAACCAGGGCTTGCAGTAAATGTGTCAACCAGGGCTTGCAGTCAATGTGTCACCAAGGGCTTGCAGTCAATGTGTCACCAAGGGCTTGCAGTCAATGTGTCAACCAGGGCTTGCAGTAAATGTGTCACCCAGGGCTTGCAGTCAATGTGTCACCCAGGGCTTGCAGTCAATGTGTCACCCAGGGCTTGCAGTCAATGTGCCACCAAGGGCTTGCAGTAAATGTGTCACCAAGGGCTTGCAGTCAATGTGTCACCCAGGGCTTGCAGTCAATGTGTCAACCAGGGCTTGCAGTCAATGTGTCACCCAGGGCTTGCAGTCAATGTGCCACCAAGGGCTTGCAGCAATTGCTTCAATCAGGGCTTGCAGTCAATGCTTCAACCAGGGCTTGCAGTCAGTGTGTCACCCAGGGCTTGCAGTCAATGTGTCAACCAGGGCTTGCAGTCAATGTGTCACCCAGGGCTTGCAGTCAATGCTTCAACCAGGGCTTGTAGTAAATGCTTCAACCAGGGCTTGCAGTCAATGTGTCACCCAGGGCTTGCAGCAAATGCTTCAACAAGGGCTTGCAGCAAATGCTTCAACCAGGGCTTGTAGTCAATGCTTCAACCAGGGCTTGCAGTCAATGTGTCACCCAGGGCTTGCAGCAATTGCTTCAATCAGGGCTTGCAGTCAATGCTTCAACGAGGGATTGCAGTCAATGTGTCACCCAGGGCTTGCAGAAAATGTTTCAACCAGGGCTTGTAGTCAATGCTTCAACCAGGGCTTGCAGTCAATGTGTCACCCAGGGCTTGCAGTCAATGTGTCACCCAGGGCTTGCAGTCAATGTGTCACCCAGGGCTTGCAGTCAATGCTTCAACCAGGGCTTGTAGTAAATGCTTCAACCAGGGCTTGCAGTCAATGTGTCACCCAGGGCTTGCAGCAAATGCTTCAACAAGGGCTTGCAGCAAATGCTTCAACCAGGGCTTGTAGTCAATGCTTCAACCAGGGCTTGCAGTCAGTGTGTCACCCAGGGCTTGCAGCAATTGCTTCAATCAGGGCTTGCAGTCAATGCTTCAACCAGGGATTGCAGTCAATGTGTCACCCAGGGCTTGCAGAAAATGTTTCAACCAGGGCTTGTAGTCAATGCTTCAACCAGGGCTTGCAGTCAATGTGTCACCCAGGGTTTGCAGTCAATGTGTCACCAAGGGCTTGCAGTCAATGTGTCACCCAGGGCTTGCAGTCAATGCTTCAACCAGGGCTTGTAGTAAATGCTTCAACCAGGGCTTGCAGTCAATGTGTCACCCAGGGCGTGCAGCAAATGCTTCAACAAGGGCTTGCAGTAAATGCTTCAACCAGGGCTTGTAGTCAATGCTTCAACCAGGGCTTGCAGTCAATGTGTCACCCAGGGCTTGCAGCAATTGCTTCAATCAGGGCTTGCAGTCAATGCTTCAACCAGGGATTGCAGTCAATGTGTCACCCAGGGCTTGCAGAAAATGTTTCAACCAGGGCTTGTAGTCAATGCTTCAACCAGGGCTTGCAGTCAATGTTACACCCAGGGCTTGCAGTCAATGTGTCAACCAGGGCTTGCAGTAAATGTGTCAACCAGGGCTTGCAGTCAATGTGTCACCAAGGGCTTGCAGTCAATGTGTCACCAATGGCTTGCAGTCATTGTGTCACCCAGGGCTTGCAGCAATTGCTTCAACCAGGGCTTGTAGTCAATGCTTCAACCAGGGCTTGCAGTCAGTGTGTCACCCAGGGCTGGCAGTCAGTGTGTCACCCAGGGCTTGCAGTCAATGTGTCACCCAGGGCTTGCAGTAAATGCTTCAACCAGGGCTTGTAGTAAATGCTTCAACCAGGGCTTGCAGTCAATGTGTCACCCAGGGCTTGCAGCAAATGCTTCAACAAGGGCTTGCAGTCAATGTGTCACCCAGGGCTTGCAGTAAATGCTTCAAAAGTATGTAGTCTCCATACAAAATAGAGCCCACCCAACCGAACCCACACATATCAGATGGTCGTCACTTAGTATAGAGTGGACTTCTCCGCAACACTTGTGTCAATTTTGTTTGCATACTCTATATTAGATTTTTGTTTCTATAGATCATTTAAACATAGCTCAGTTTGTATTGATTTTTTTATTCCATTTTCAATTTGGGTAAAAAATACTAACAGTTTCACAGTTCAAATTGTTACATGCCACAGGATCCTCATACCAAGAACGTGTCAGAATCCAGCATATTCCAGGAGACTAGTTACTACTTTACCCAACATCTTGGATGCCAGATGTCCACACACATGTATGTTCGATGCATCAACCGCAACAAGGTGTTAGTGAACCAAGTCCTGAGTACCTTGCCCTGCAACACCACTTACCGTTCGTTTCAGTGGGGGTATCATTGCCTGTCATTGGAAATACATAGGTTTACTCTCTTAACTAAAATCAAATTTGTTAAACATTCATTGCAACTGTTGCAAAAGCTGGAACCAAGGGAGGTCAGCCATCATAACACAGTGATCAGTCATTCCTAGCTCAACTGTCAGTTACCTCCCTTCAATCTATAATCATCATAAATGCAGGATAGACTGACTATACAGACGTTGGGTGAGGTGAAATGGGGTTTAGTGTTGTGTTCAAGATTATTGCACTAGTTTGGACAAATGCTGATTTTTTAATGCTTGTCCACTGGGAGATGATCCTACATACAAATCAAACATCACCTTACCCGTCATAAGGCTAGTTATCTCCCTTTGACTAACAACTTCAATCAAACATGAAAGGGGGTTTAGCCTAGTGGATGAGGTTGTCAAAGAATTCCAAGGAGATCTGTTTTTTAGAAGCTGATGATGATAATGATAAAGCTCAAGCTGTCTCCAGGTGTCCAGGAAATGAGGCAGATGGAGACAAAGAGCATTTCCAAAGCTCCAGATAACTTTTTGAGCAATTGAGCTTTTGAATACACAATGCCATTTAGAAAGTGGTCAAATGTAACAAATGTTATATTTGGGATAACACTTTCTGAGTAAAGTACAGCCTCACTCTGGCAAGTGTGGGTTCGAATCCCGGACGGGACACAACCCAAAAAAGTACGAGAATCTGTACTTTACTAAGAAAGTGTTATCCCAAATATAACATTTGTTACAACTGAGCTTTTACTCGAAGGTTTCTATTTTAATTATTACATTTTTCATTGGGTAACCACTATTTTTACACTCATCTATTCATCACTCTGTTGGGTTCTCCCCAAAATGATTAAAAGATAATGAAATAATGTTTTAGATGCATATAGCTGTTCTAAATATAGGCTTGACTCGTAAATTAAATTAGCTCAACATTGTGTTTCAGACAATGTCGGAAATTAGCTCTGTTGTACGCATGCTAAAAAAGCTTAATTGGGAATTTACGCATGCTGTTTTTATACATTTGAGTTTTTCATAAAATGCATGCGTTTCTGTACACAAGTTAATTGAAAGTAATCGGGTTTTGAATAGTTTTGAAGGTATCTTACACAAATAAGCAGCTTATCAGTAGCTCTGCTTCACACGCTCCATGCTGCCTTTACATTGGTCAAAAACAGACATGTTGATGTTCTTGGTGATGATAATGATGCACGTGGATGATTGACAAGACGATGTCTTTTTAAAAAATGACATTGTATCAACAAATGCTTTGAAGACTGGCATTAATGATATGTTTTTTTATATGTTAAAAACATAAGCACTGCAGTAACCTACAGTTAAAACAAACTACAGCATGTACAAGGGATCACTAATTTAGTTCATTATAATCGTAGTCTGTTATAAGGTAAAGGCATATACTGCATATGTATAGCAAATGGTCGGGACAAAAAAATAAGATTGTTATATCCGTCAGTTTGTTATAAGCGTGTTCGTTATTAACATAGTTTACTGTAGTTAAAATTATCAAGGAGCGGTAAACATGGTAAAAGGCATATCCAAGTCCTTGTTGCTGGTTTCTCCAGCTGACAGGTATCACACATGCATGACTCACTCACCTACAATCCCATCAAGGGTGACGCTGACCGTCTGGTCTCCACTTTCCATGGTCACGCCCTCCGGAAGGTCCGGTTCAGCATGGCATTTGAGTACCTTATTGAACAGTCTGTGATCAAAGTCCAGCTCATAGCTGACCATGGCCTTGTATGACCGTCTTTCTGTGTTTCCGTCCTTGTCCAAGATAGCGGTGACATCGCCCGTGTTAAGATGCTGGTCACCTGCCATTAAATGAATGACTGGTGCTGGATTGGAACCCATTGCCTCGCATGTCACCGACAGTGTTTTAGACTTCGATGATACGGTTACTCCATCAGCTTTTTCCTCCCCATCAACTGTCAGCTTGATGCCACTCACGGGAGCTGAGGAGACAAGCACAGATACATGAGCTGACATGTCATTGCTGGACATGAAACACAAACATGCAGGGCCCTGTCCCACAAAGTGATCTAAGCGCTGTGGTGATTGTAAGCCTTCGTTAAAGTGGAAGATCGCTTTGTGGAACGGGGCCCAGGGATTTATCTTGGACTCAATATTAAGTGCCCTTGGAAACCAAATTGGGAAAATATACTTACTTTGCCCAATATTGGGATTGTTTTAAAGTCCTTCTCTTCTTAATTTCACAGGTAATACAATATTTTATCAAATACAATAACGCCTCTCCTTTCTATTGGTCCTGTTTACAGGGAAATACAGGGCACGTCTACCAAGCCATACTATTACCTATGACTATATCAATTTGATTAAAATGGATAGGGAAAATGTTAATTCCAATTTTGGTATTTTTACTGAAATTTGCATCAAATTTGGCCCGAATTTCAGTCTCTGAGAAGGTCCAGATAAATCCCAGACCATGCCTAAATAACTTAGTCGCATATTCAGGAATTTGTCAAATCCAGACCCTACAGAAACCTGATCAGTCAGTAGAGGAACAGATTTTTGGTCCTGTGGGGCAAACTTATCCCGTAGAATCTGCTTAATGCATACTTCCTTCACTTGACATCATGCCACAAAGGACCAATTTTTATGCAGTTGACACTACAGGGACTATGCCAAAAAAGAGTTGTTTTTCTCAAATTACAAAAGTCACATGGTTAAAGAATATATTCTTTAGTGACATAAACACAATAAAAGTAACATTTCCTACATCGATCATGTAGATAAATTCCTGCTAGTATGTTAATACAAACAGGTATTTATCCACGTGATCTTGGCTTCCAAACTAAGAGCCCTTGGCAGGCAAATTGGGATATAATTGTTACTGTTACAAATAATTATTTGTCTAAAGTTGTTATATACTTAATTTCAGATTAAGCATTAATGCATTATTATCCTTATTGGTCCTCTGATCAGTACAATACAAGTCACCTCAATCAAGCCAGCACATCGCCATGGTCATAACTTTATCAACACACATTAGGTGGGTGGGTGGGTGAGTTTGGTTTAACGCCGCTTTTAAGATTATTCCAGTTATATCACGGTGTGTCAGCTTAATGTGGGAGGAAAGCCCGAAGTGATGAAGGTTTCAGACGTTAACCACTTTGGTGAACCCACGAGCACGAGTATGGTGCTGACAAACCTAGAAACATAATTGGTGCGAACCGCGATTGGAACCCACAATCATGTGTTTCTGGCGTGACCAACGGACGCAACTCTGCACAGCGAATCGCGGTGCCTTAAGACAACTGGGCCACCTGTGCCCTCTACACAAATTAGGAAATTTAGGAAACTTTTGCTGCAGAATATCGGCCTCTGAGCAGGTACAGGGAAGTCCTTTAAGGGCTTTACTAGTCATTTGAAATATAAAATTGTTTCTTTATCTTTGCACAACTAAAACATCAAGTTACTTGGTTGAAAACTCCTTATGCTATCCAAGACTCACTTACCGAGGAAAACCACCGTCTTGGTTGCTGACTCTAGAGCATCACTGGTCCCTCTCTTCTGTGTGCGACATGTGTATTCCCCGTCAGCAGCAGCAGTAGCTGGAAACAATTCAATCACACAATTTTACAAGATCTCAAAATCCGGTATTAAACAGACTTTGACAAAGACTTGTGACTTTCTACTGGCCCGAACATGGTTCTTCTTCTTATTTTCAGAAGATTTAATGTTCATATATGGACTATTATTAGCTGAGCTTACTAGGGCTTCCGACTAGAGGCCAAAGAACGGTTTACTATATCCTTGGTAGCTGACGTCCTACCGATTTTCTTAAATAAAGCAAAAACACAAGGTTCAAAACAATGTTCATAGTAAGCAGGAAAATGGTCCACTGAGCTGAATGAGTAAGTGAGAGAGTATGGTTCTTACCCCTTTAGCAATATCATGGTGGGAGACACCTGAAATGGGTTTCACACATTGTACCCATCAGGGAAACCGAAACCTGGGTCTTTGGCATGAAGATCGAACACTTTAACCACAAGCTGAATACACTGAGCTGAATATTTACGACCATGGGATGTTTGTTTGTTGTTTAACTCCGCACTTAGCACTATTCCAGCTATATGATGGTGCACCATAAATGTTCGATCTGGACCAGACAATCCAGTGATCAATATCATGGGTATTGATTTACGCAATTGGGATATAGCGACATGCATCAACCAAATCAACGTGCCTAACCACCCAATCCCAATAGTTGCCTCTTACGGCAAGCATGGGTTGCTGAAGACCTATTCTAACCCAGATCTTCACGGGTGTGATATTATCTATAAATATTTGTACTCAAAACTGAATATAAAAGTGTGTACATAAACATTCAGCTCATAATCAGGGACAAATGTAACAAATTTTTCATTGTGAAGTCAAAAGTAAAAACAATTATTTTCTACAATTTGATCTATCTTGTGACCATGGTAACAGTCACCAGACTCCATCTTCCCGAAGCAAGGGAGTTAACTGACTTTAAAAGTCCAGTTTCCATCCATGCCGAACTAGGCTGGAATTACTGGGCTCGATCGTTGCGCCACCAGTGGCTATTACAATTATGTCCCTTCTAAGCCTCTCCTATGGACCAATCAGATTCCACCTATCGTATCACTTACGTTTGCTTCACACAAAATGGTGGCGCTCAGACAGGATGATCTGCTCGATAATCAAGATCTATATTGTGATAAAACGGGTCTTACATCGCGAAATGCATCAAATCACGTGAGCACCTTGATTAAAAACATGAAAAAATTTGGAAAATATCTGCTGACGAGTTGGCGGTGCACATGCTTTGCAAATCCTGCAATCGATCTAAACCTGCTCGACAGTTTACGAACCGGATTTTGATTTCGACTATGCATAGACTCGTTAGTCCAGACAAAATGTAACTCCATAATACCAGCCTAGTTGGGCAAGGGTGGAAACTGGACTTTTATAGTCAGTTTACTCTCTTGCCTCGGGAAGATGCCAGACTCAAGTATTGGTACTCAGTATGGGTCTGAAAAACGTGATGTCAAATCAAACAGTATGATGTCATGATATCCGACTTACAAGACGGACACTGGCTCATAACTATGATGGGTATTGGCCCGACTCTCATAGTGCAATTTATTGCAATAATGATTTGTAGATTGCGATACGTATTACAATATACTGAATGAGTTCTTCCATCTGCAATTTGTTACAAACCTGAATATATAAGAACCTACACAACTGCCTCCCCACTCACAATTTTTCACAACTTTGTCGGTGGCTGCCGTTATGTTGGGTTGTTGCTATGGTCACAATGTACGCGTAATACACATATTAGACAGGAACCTGTTCACAAATGGTTTCAATTTGTTGTCGCACGAATAAGTTGCTAAATTCTGCATTTCATAATCACAATTCGCCGTGTCACTTTTGTAAAGTTTGTCAACAAGATGAAGATATCCATGACTTTGAATACGCATTTCACAGGTATTTTCCAAACACATTGGCATACATATTCTGTAGTATTTATATTGTGCAATATCAGTAATACCTTATAGATTCTTTATGGAGTAAAGTTAAGTTCTTGCCTTGAATACTCTGTACAGTCGCTGTACTTACCTGACTTTAATTTGAGGGTGACACGAACAATGGGTATCATTTCAAGCTTGATCACATAATTATCTGCTTGGGTAACAAGAAGAATCTGTAGCTCTGAAATGATCGTCTCGGTTTCGGTTACCAGGTTCTTGTGGACAATAGCCAGCTGTTTTGATACAATGAACTGCACGTTTGCATCTGTCGTGCAGGACAAGTTAATCTCATCTCCTTCTTTGACGTAATCGGGTCCAGGGACGTCAAACCTTGGGTTATCTTGTGCATGGCTGATGCCTGGAACAGACACAAGAATGCATTACCATGGTTACAACAGTAAAACCTTGAACTTGTTCATGTGATGGAGTGAGTGAGTGGATTAACGCCGCTTTTAGCAATATTCCAGCAATATCATGGCTAGGGACACCAGAAATGGGCTTCACTAAATGTACCCATGTGGGGAATCAACCCAAGCCTTCGACGTGATGAGAGAATGCTTAACCACTAGGCAACAGTGGTGTAACGACTCAATATTGCATCCCGGTCAAAAGCCCATGATACAATACAGGGATTAAAAACGAATGTACTGTGATACATTACAAATTATATTGGTGTAATATACATGGCTAATAACAGAAACGGTTAAACCCCAGTGTGTGCAGATTCTCTGGTATTTACCAGCTGGCAATAAATAGCATAACATTCACTGTGCCTATATGTTTCGGGATTACAATATCCTATCTTCAATCTCTGAAATTTAAGAGTGAGTGAGTGAGTGAGTTGCGTTTAACAGTATTCAAGTTATATCACGTCGTGTCAGCTTAATGTGGGAGGAAAGCCCAAAGTGATGCAGGTATTGGATGTTTACCACTTCGGTGAAACCCGCGACCACGGGTATGGTGCCGACAAACCTAGAAACATAATCGAGGCGATTGAAATTTAAGAACAAATGATTCAAGGTTGTGATTCATCTGCAAACAGGAAGAATATCCACTACTGAAAAAAAGCACTGCGTAACAATGCGAATCGTTGTGAACATGGTCCATTGTTCGACTTTCACAAATCTACGTCTACAACTGGGATTTACCTGGGTTGTTTACCATGGTGGTCCAGTGGACTCCAAGACTTTAATTGTGGGGGCCCAGGTAAAAAATGAAAACAGTTTAACATGTTTAAGCAATATTCAAGCAATATCATTGCACACACCAATGGGCTTCAAACATTATACCCATGTGGGAATCAAAGACCTGGATTTCAGTGTGAGAGTGAACGCTTTAACTAGTAGGCTTAACTACACCGCCCCATTCTGATAGAGAACTGCCAGCTATCACAATAGCACATTATGATGGAATTTTTTATACCCCTATAAAGTTCCCACAGCAATAACTTTCAGCTAAGCCAACATTCATTCGAAAATTTGTTGTTATGAAGAAATGTAAAGAATTCATCTCCTTTTTCGTTATCTGATTTGGCCACGTTGAGGAGTGAATTGGAAGTGATTTTGTTTGTTTGTTTGTTTGTTTGTTTGTTGTGTAACGTCACACTCAGCAATATTCCATTCATATGACGGCAGTTTGTAAATAATCAAGTCTGGACCAGACAATCCAGTGATTCACATCATGAGCATCGATCACGCAATTGGGATACTATTATACCGTAACATGCATCAACCAAGTCAGTGAGTCTGACCACGCCTCTTACGACAAGCATAGTCACCTTTGAAGGCAAGCATGGGTCGCTGAAGACCTACTCTACCCCGAATTGGAAGTGAAATAAACTTAAACATATTTTAGTTATCTCTGGCAGTAGAAATGCCCCCCAAAAGAAACATTTGTCCACGCTTCCTTAACAATGCTACCCTAGTTACCTCCCTTCCCTCATCAACACACTCAAATGAATAGAAGTGAAAACTGTCAGCTGACTCAACAGGAATATATGACCATGTCGTCAGTCACTACTTTTCATCATTTTTACTTGTCTTTGGGCAAGTAGATGAGTGAGAATTTATTATTCTTAGGCTGTTACCAGGGTGCTGTTGTACAAAGCTATCTTAGTGCTAAGGTGATTGTAACTCCCATACTTTATCATCGACCTACGACAGTCGTACCCCGAAGCTGTTTCGTACAACTAGGGCACCCAGGGATTCATCTAGACCTGCTCAGAGGGAGGCTTTTGGCCCTGAATTGCCGCAAATGACAGTAAACATACCCAATTTAATTATAACATTTCCAAATACCTGATGTTTTTCCAATTTTGCGTGCCATGGGCACTTAGTTTGGAGTCCTAGATAAATCCTTGGTGAGTGTATGTTGTGTGTGTTAGTCAGCATTATTGCTGCTGTGTCACAGCCATGTGACTACACACCTACAACTGTGAGTGCGAGGTGGCCCCCGCTCACTGAAGCACAACAGACAGCAGACATTCCTGTGTGCAGTCGAACAGAAAGCTGACAGAGACTTGGGCTGACTGCCAAACTACACTACAATGCTCACATAGGACACATTTGACACACTAAGCAGGATCGAAAACTGGACTGTCAAAATCACGTAATATGAGGATTGACTGACTGACTGACTGACTGAGTATGGTTTTACGCCGCTTTTAGCAATATTCCAGCAATATCACAGCGGGGGACACCAGAAATGGGCTTCACACGTTGTACCCATGTCGGGAATCGAACCCAGGTCTTTGACGTGACAAGCGAACGCTTTAACCACTAGGCTACCCGACCGCCCCAATATGAGGATTGCCATGTATCCGCACCATTCAGAGATTTGAAAACATCCTTCAGATTATTTGATTATCAATTACAGTCCCATCCATGACACCATTACAAACAACAATTTCAGTACTGAATCCAAGCATGTTTGCATTGGGGAATGAATTCCCTTTCATAGCGGTGTGGTTTATTCAAGTGTTCACGGTATTACAAATAGGATAGAATTCGTGTAATGGGATACAAATTGCCATAAATATTCTCCAGGGGTTTCAGATGAATGTTTACTGCACAATCAGTGAAGGAACTGGGGGGAACAAAAAATGGGCTTGGCATCACCAACATGTGAATTGACCCGAGTCCTTTCATGTGATGAGCAGATATTTTGATCACGAGGCTACCCCACCATCCAGTAAGTAAGCATGGTTTTATGCCTCTTTTAGCAATATTCCAGCAATAGCACTGCAGGGAACAACAGAAATGGGCTTCACACATTGTACCCATGTGGAGAATCAAACCCAGACCTTCAACATGAGGGCCGAGGTCTTTCCCCTCAAGGCTACCCCACTACCCAGACATTGAATATATAAGCATAAGTATGGAATAGGGCACTAATTGTAACCGTGGCATGATGGGAGTGAGTTTGGTTTTATGCTGCTTTTAGCAATATTCCAGCAATATCATGGTGGGGGACACCACAATTGGGCTTGAATGTCGGGAATCGAACCCGGGTCTTCGGCGTGATGAGCGAACACCTTAACCACTATGCTACCTGACCATCCTCTGGCATGATGGGCACCAGCTTTGTTCAAAGGCCGATACAGGTTTGTTGTACAGAAAAGGCCCAAGAGCATGCAATGAAAAGTGCTTTAGATTGCTTTTAACATGATCAAGTGTGACAGAGCATGCAGTGTGACAGAGCATATGGATGTGCAGCTGTGCCCTCTGGGACTCAAATGTGCCAACCAGAATGCATTTCAATGAAAAAAGTAATAGCTTATTTGAATTTCTGTATATTATGCATGTTTCTGTTTGTCCAGTATATTTAGAAGTAACTTAAGCATGGGCATCACATGACAAAAAGCATCACAAGGTGTTTTTATTACACAGAATGAGATTCCGAATGGTGTCTTTAAGGCGACAATACATTTTTAAATCCGCCCTTAAGAACCTACCCTGTCATTTGCACAGTAATACGAGCCAGTTAGTGAGTATGGTTTAATGTCACTTTTAACAATATTTCAGCAATACTGTGGCGGGAGACACCAGAAATGGGCTTCACATTGTGGCCATGTGGGGAATTGAACCTGGTTCTTCAGGGTGACAAGTGAACACTTTAACCACGAGGCAACCACACTGCCACAGTAATAGAAGGAATTTCGAACCCTTGTATTTGTTTGTTTGTTGTTTAACGCCGCACTCAGCAATATTCCAGCTATATGACGGCGGTCTGTAAATAATTGAGTCTGGACCAGACAATCCAGTGATTAATATCATGAGTATCGATCCACGCAATTGGGATCGATGACATGCATCAAACAAGTCAGCGAGCCTGACCACCCGATCCCGTAAGTCGCCTTTAAAGACAAGCAGAGTCACATTTTACGGCAAGCATGGGTTGCTGAAACCTACTCTACCCCGGAATCTTCACGGGTCTCGAACCCTTATAACAAGTAAGGAGACATTAGCATGATATCTCTGGAAACTAACTGTATGAACAAGTTACTTATGACTTTCTACTGTTATGGCAGGGCTCGATTCAGCTACTGTTATCTAAAGCATTAGTATTTTAGCATAAAAAGTTATGATTATTGTAATTTGCTACCTAATGTTTAAGTCTACAAGCTTTCGTTTGTTTGATGTTTAACGCCACACTCAGAAATATTCCAGCCATATGATGGCGGTCTGTAAATAATCCAGTGATTGATACGAGCATCGATCCACGCAAAATGGGATACGATGACATGCATCAACCATGTCAGCGAGCATGACCACCTGATCCCATTAGTTGCTTCTTATGTCAAGCATGGGTTGCTGCAGACATATTTTAAACCCAGTCTTCACTGGTGGTATGTCAACGTGCACCGAGTGCATCATGTAAAAAGCTACACCCACCATTCCCCAAACAATAATGATCTTTGAGCACACTCACTACCCCTCAGCTTTATGTACCATACAACAACACAACTCAAGCCAATCCCTGCGTCATGTGAAATGTATATGCTTTCTTGGGCTCGACGTCATCAAAAATTATGTTAACATGTCCCTTTTTTGTTGTACAGCAATACGCCAATATGTAAAATCATGACGGACAGAGATCTGAGATCATATTTATTTAGACTAGTTTATGCATCAGTGTTACCATGGTTACAACTCTTCTAAATTTATTGGACCTGATTTTGTTTGGCGCAACTCAGTTTTCACGTCAAAAGCACCTGGTGCAAGTTAAATCAAGTTCCGTAACTCCAGCCCTGTATGGATACCCAATTTTCAAAGCAAAATTCCTTGCTATCACCCTATCAATAATATTAGACAACTTTGGATGACTAGCCCAAGGCCCCCACACGTTGAAATTCCTTAC